TTTGATATAAATTACTTTTTAATGAATGAAATAAACTAGTGATGCATGGCATCGTGCCTCAAGACAAATTGCTGGAACTTTTCGTACCAATAATTAAATTTTTTGAAAAACTTTATTTTTTTTTGAAAACTGAGAAAAATAGATTTTTGAGAATTTTAAATTTTTTGAAAATGAATTAATCAAATTAGAATTTTTATATATTTTGAAATTATTTAAAAATTTTCAACTTTTATTCAAAACAATCGCGCTGCGTACTGTTTTAGAGGTCAATATCAAAGTGCTTCTAACGGATAAACATTGGTATGAAAACAATAGAAATGTAAACTAGTGGGGCGCATGGCATCGTGCCTAAAGGCAAATTGATGGAAATTATTGTTTTTTTAAAAACGATTAATATTTTTGAAAAAATTTTACTCAAAATTAGAAAAAAATTAGATTTTTGAGAAACTATGAAGTTGATAAGAAATTACTTTTTTTTGAAAAAAAATTATTTTAGAAAAAAAATTTTTTTCTGAAAAAAAAAGTATGCTTTATTTTGACATATTTTGGAAATTCTTAACTTTTTTTCGAAGCAATCGTACCGCTTTAACTGTATAGAGATAAAATGTCAAAGCGCGTAAGCGCCGCGTCGCCGTCTAACGGAACCCATAAGAATGTAAACTTCTGTTTTAGATCTCGTGTTTTAAAACGAGCAGGTCAAAGTGGAGAGGTTACTTCATCGTCCGTTTGCGAAGAAAATGGAATTATTAATTCAAGTTTTCATTGCTTTAGTATTATAATATATTTCAATCAAATTAAATTTTAATCAATAATTATTTAAAAAAAAAACTTAAATCTAAAAATACTGTTTTTTGTGATTCTTTTATATCATTTTAGTACTGCAATTAATAAGTAAATTAGTAAGAATCTAATATTTTAAGTTAAAATTGTAAGAAAAAGTTACTAACTCCAGTTAAAACTAATGAAGTATTACTAGTGATGCATGGCATCGTGCCTCAAGACAAATTGCTGGAACTTTTCGTACCAATAATTAAATTTTTTGAAACACTTTATTTTTTTTTTGAAAACTGAGAAAAATAGATTTTTGAGAATTTTAAATTTTTTGAAAATGAATTAATCAAATTAGAATTTTTATATATTTTGAAATTATTTAAAAATTTTCAACTTTTATTCAAAACAATCGCGCTGCGTACTGTTTTAGAGGTCAATATCAAAGTGCTTCTAACGGATAAACATTGGTATGAAACCAATAGAAATGTAAACTAGTGGGGAGCATGGCATCGTGCCTAAAGGCAAATTGATGGAAATTATTGTTTTTTTAAAAACGATTAATATTTTTGAAAAAAATTTACTTAAAATTAGAAAAAAATTAGATTTTTGAGAAACTATGAAGTTGATAAGAAATTACTTTTTTTTGAAAAAAAATTATTTTAGAAAAAAAAAGTATGCTTTATTTTGACATATTTTGGAAATTCTTAACTTTTTTTCGAAGCAATCGTACTGCTTTAACTGTATAGAGATAAAATGTCAAAGCGCGTAAGCGCCGCGTCGCCGTCTAACGGAACCCATAAGAATGTAAACGTAAAATATTTATAATGTTATCTTATTGTTAAAATCTCTATAAAATATCTGATAATTTGATGTGCATATGTCTAATGATCATGTTTACCGCCAAATGGCATTTTTTTTTACTTTTTTATTAGATCTCCGAAATCGTTAGACCTGCCTTCACAAAAATTTGATCTATTCTTTACCTTGTCAATACAAGTAAAATGTTTTTTGAATTATTAAAATCGGATGCTCCGTTCTCTTAAAAACTGAGTTATCATTTTCGGCACTTTTTGCCCCGTATCTTCGGAACCGCTAGACCTGCCTTCGCCAAAAACTAATCAGCACGTCTCCTTATCGGTACAAATCAAATGTTTTTTGAATTATTTAAATCGGTTGATCGGTGTTCCCGAAATCGTCGACGAAAATTTTATTCGCACACACACACACGCACACACATACACACACACATACATCCATTTTTTCTAAGGTATGCCAAAATATTCAGAAACCTTTGAAACGTAAAGATATATAAAAATTTTCATTTTCGATTTTTTTGCGATTACTATAACTTGCCCTACGGGAAGTTAACAAAAAGTGTATCTATTAATAAAATCTCTATAAAATATCTGATAATTTGATGTGAATATGTATAATGATAATTTTTAGATTAGAAATAGACCGCCAAATGGAATTAACTTTTTTTATTGGATCTCTAAAACCGCAGGAGCTGTCTTTAATTAGTTCTTCATTCGCCAATACAAATAAAACGTTTTTTGATTCATTCAAACTGTACGCCCGTTCTCTCAAAAACTTTATTGTCATTTATGGCACTTTTTGACCCATATCTTCGAAACGGCAGGGCATTTCTTTGCCAAAAACTGATCAGCTCGTCTCTTTATCAATTCAAATCGAATGTTTTTTAAATCATTTAAATCGGTTGTTTTGTGTTTTCCAAATCGTCGACAAAAAATTGTATCCGCACATACATACACACACATACATAGATCATTTTTTATCGAAAGTATGCCACAATGTTTAGGAACCGTTGAAACGTAAATATATATTAAAATTTTCATTCTCGAATTTTTTGCAATTACTATAACTTACACTACGGGAAGTTATATATATATATATATATATATATATATATATATATATATATATATATTAGGGTGGTCCTTAAAATGGTCATTTTCGAATTTTCTTGCTCCCAGGGGCTCAAATGGTTCCAAATTGATAAAAAATAATTCTCTGAAAGTTTTAGCTCTTAATATTAAGATTTAGATAGAGCGCAATTCAATCAAACTTCGTATGGAAAGAGCATGGAAAAAATTTTGAAAATTTAAAAAAAAATTCTTTAGGTATAACTTAGCGACAAATGAATGAGTTTTATTCATTCATTTGTGCGCTAAATTACATCTAAAAAACATTTTTAAAATGTTTGAAAAATTTTCCATGCTATTTCCATACAAAACTTTGATTGAATTGCGCTCTATCTAAACGTTAATATTAAGAGCTAAAACTTTCAGAGAATTGTTTTTTATCTATTTGGAACCATTTGAGACCCTGGGAGCAAGGTAATTCGAAAATGAACATTTTAAGGACCACCCTAATATATATATATATATATATATATATATATATATATATATATATATATATATTATATATATATATATAAAGCGAGAGGTTTTTCTTCAGATGGTGAAATAATATAATAAAATTGTTTCTTGGGCATCCGTCCAGCAATTAAAAAACAGTTTTAATGAAAAATGTTTTTATTTAAAGAACATACGTTTCGGGTCTTGATTTGACCCATCTTCAGTGCTACAATTAAATAATTAAGGGTTACAAATTAAAACAATATAAAAAAATACATAATTAACAGACAAAAATAAGTAAAACAATGTATATGAAAAGTATATATGAAAAACAACCATAAAATAAACAAATTGTTATAATTTTTTATTGTAACTTTTATTGTTCCATAACTATTATCGTTTTTCTGTTAATATCTATACTTTTTCTTAATAATTTTCTCTTCATTCACATTTTTTGGGATTTGATTATGGATGTCTTACACATGTATATTTTTACTATGTTCCTACTGCGCATGATCGTTTGAGAAAACCTTCGTATTATGAAACCACTAAAATTCTCTCTATCCCGTTCTCTCACCAATGACGATACAGTTTCCACTATTTTCCGCAAACACTTACGCACACATTTTACTCTCGTACACACTCGTAATACAATTTCCAAACTAACAACATGTTCGTTTGGAATAAGCTTTTTTATAATAAAATATATCATTTATTTTAATTTTACAATTTTTTAATTTTTTCATAACTCGACGTTTCATCAATTTTTTATTTCACATTTATTTATTTTTCGTGCAATTTTGTGTTTTGTGTTGTTTTTCAAAACTTATTTGTATGGTGAGTTTCTTTACATTTAATTATTTTATGGTTGTTTTTCATATATACTTTTCATATACATTGTTTTACTTATTTTTGTCTGTTAATTATGTATTTTTTTATATTGTTTTAAATTGTAACCCTTAATTATTTAATTGTAGCACTGAAGATGGGTCAAATCAAGACGCGAAACGTATGTTCTTTAAATAAAAACATTTTTCATTAAAACTGTTTTTTAATTACTGGATGGATGCCCAAGAAACAATTTTATTATATATATTTATATATATATATATATATATATATATATATATATATATATAAATATAAATATTTAATTATATATCTTATACATACTTTTCCGTAACGCCGATTTTTACCAAATTTTCTATTCGTATTCAGTAAGTTTGAGAATTGTGTACTATCTATTTTTTATACTCCTAAGTGATACGGGTTTTTCGCCCTTAATTTTTTTGTTTTTATTTTTTATAATCTAGCATTAAAAATGCTTGCATCCTTTAATTTTTATTTTTTATCTCTAATTTTTACAGCCATTTGAGTAATTCAATATTGTTTTATCCAGCGTTTAGTCACTATTTAATAATTTATTTTTATTAAGAGTTTTCAAACTCCAATACTTTTTATAATTCTGGGCCCAATTTTCTTTAATTTTCTATAATTTGAAAATGGAAAATAATGGAACTCTTTTTACTTCAAAAAACTATTTATTTTAATCAAAGGTTGTCCACCCCCATTTTTTTTGAATTTAGAATAAATTTTCTTTTAATTTTAATCATGCAAAATTAAAAAATGCATACAACTTTTTAAGATACTTCAAAATATTTTATATTATATATATATATATATATATATATATATATATATCGTATCTCGTATTTAGATCTGATTATATAAATAAAACAATTATGAATTTATTAACTTTTTTTATTATTAATTAAAGGACTAATATTTTTTGATTATCAACGAAGTAACTTTGCAGGGTCAGTAATAGCATTCTTAAACTGTATCTTGTGAAATAATCGACATGTTGTTTTGAAAAAATTCTATCACTAGTTGCGGGATTTTCACCTTCGCCTGTATCGACGAAATCAAATCGGCCTCGTCTACGTTTTTCTATTTAGCCAAATACATTAGGTTATCCCCCGATTTAGTGACCCCTAGCACTTTTTCAGCCTCCAACTTTGTAGGTCTGGAAGATATCCTACTGTTCTCCAGCATTTTGAGTACCTTTTCCTTTTCCTGGTCCACCTTCAAGCGTTCCTCTTCGTATTCCCTTATTGTATAAGGACACATCAAGTTTTCCAGGGGCTCCCAACTATCATGATCAGTCGAATAGTTCTCCCACCTTATTAAATACTCGATCTTGCCTTTCCGGACACGTTTGTCTAAAATCTTATCCACCGTAAATATGTTACTGTCCGACTTTGACATTTCCATCGCTTTGAGGTTAGGTCGCTGTAAGGTGGAAAAATTTATGAACAACAATAGTTTGTATCTAAATGAATCAATCTTTAAGGCAAATAACTGTTTTTAAGTTTAATAAGAGTTTATAACTATAAATTTTTATTACCATATTGTTTTGAACACTTACAACGCAAATCTTTCGCAGATACGTGTCTATCGACTAATTCAAAACAATTGAAGACTTGTAATACCCATTTATAATTATAATACATATGAACATAGATAAAGGAAGAGTATGGATTGCAAGTTCGAGCGCAAAACTGTGTCAAAAGATAGAAGGCGATAGTGACGTCACCGGGCGAACGAACGTTTTTGACACTTATTAGCATAGGAAACAACTTACAGTTTTTAACATAGTTGAACGCTTAAAATACACAGGATTGTTTGAAAAAGAAGTGAATAAAATAAGAAACAAGTGGATAAATAATTATTGTCTAATAGCTCACAATTTTAAACCGATTTTAAAAATTCAAAAACGATTCGAAATATATTGGTTAAAAATCGCGTTTATTATCTTTTGGTAATGATCAGCCTGGCCGTTTCTTCGTGAATAAATAATTTTTTTTGACTTTGTTGATGAAACTTTGTATGATGCTATATATTGTCGTATGAAATAACATACTATAATATTATAAGCCTACGATATGCGGATAACAAAATACGTTTTTAGAACTTGAAATGGATGAAACAAAATATGTTAAACAAATTAATTTAATTCACACAATTATATCCACATGTTTAGTTATAATATTCAAATGCTTTTTTAAAAAAAAATTGCTGTCACTCAATACGATAACAAATTGATGTTTTCCAAAAATGATAATAATATTTATAATTATATAATTTAAATAAATTGTTTCATTTTATTCTGCTTCATATCCTAAAAAAGTATTTTATTTAATAGTGGATGACATGAACGCTAATCAGTAGTTGCATACGTAACAGGTAACAATATTATACGCTTGCACAGATAAAAGAAGAGTTATTTTCTTAATTTTCTCAACAATTTGGCTTTGGAATTTTGTTTCCATGACAACGTTTTTCCAGCGAATATTTAAATTTTTACCATTGTTAATTCAAACGCATTCTAGAAAGTTCTACCAGTCTTCTTATATCGTACCTATTATTTCATTATTTTTTTTAGTTTTATTACATTGTTTTCTATTAATGAATATAAAATAATATTTATGTGTTTTGTGTTGAAATATTAATAATGTATGCTTCTACACTATATATATATTACAAAACATTTACTTTTTTTCACTTTCTTCTTTATTCATTTTAGCATTGAATTTTATGTTTCACAGTTATCATTTCAATTTTTTTATCGCTTCCAAAATACTTTTATCATTCCTTTATTCATTAAATCTTAGTATTAGAAGTTTAATTGTTACACGGAATATTTTATTAACTTCCCGTAGGGCAAGTCATAGTAATCGCAAAAAAAATCGAAAATGAAAATTTTTGCATTTCTCGACGTTTCAAAGGTTTCTGAATATTTTGGCATACCTTAGAAAAAATGGATGTATGTGTGTATGTGTGTGTGTGTGTATGTGTGCGTGTGTGTGTGTGCGTGTGTGTATGTATGTGCGGATACAAATTTTCGTCGACGATTTCGGGAACACCGATCAACCGATTTAAATAATTCAAGAAGCATTCGATTCGTATTGATAAGGAGACGTGCTGATTAGTTTTTGGCGAAGTCAGGTCTAGCCGTTCCGAAGATACGGGGCAAAAAGTGCCGAAAACGGTAACTCAGTTTTTAAGAGAACGGAAAGTCCGATTTTAATAATTCAAAAAACATTTTACTTGTATTGACAAGGTGAAGAACCGATCAAATTGTCATAAATGTAGGTCTAGCGGTTTCGGAGATCTAATGAAAAAAGTTAGAGAAAATGCCATTTGGCGGTCAAAAATGATCATTAGACATATGCACATCAAATTACGAGATATTTTATAGAGATTTTAACAATAAGTATAATTTTGGTTTACATTCCTATGGGTTCCGTACCAATGTTTACGCGTTAGACATCGACGCGGCGCTTACGCGGTTTGATATTTCGTCTTTATGCAGTTAAAGCAGTACGATTGCTTTGAAAAAAAGTTTAGATTTTTCAAAATACTTATGTCAAAATAAAGAAAACATTTTTTTTCAAAAAAAAAAAATTAAAAAAAAAAAATTTTTTTTTAAAAAGTAATTTTTTGTCTAATTGTTTGTCAAAAATCTTATTTTTTCGAAGTAATTTTTTTTCAAAAATGTTGATCGTTTTTAAAAAAATAATAATTTTTGGTACGGGAAGTTCCAGCAATTTGCCTTAAGGCACGATGCCTTAATTGCCTTAAGACAGAATTCCACTTACAGCTAGTTATATATTTCTATTGTTTATGCATGTTCTAGCGCTCAGTGATTACAGTTGACTTTCACACTTACAAAAAATACATTTTTAAAACCCGAAATGGATGAAATGAAATGTGTTAAACCAATTAACTTAATTTATTCAATTATATATGTTGTAAATATATTCCAAAGACATAGATTGGAAGTCGTATTGATTAGTTACTAGTCAAATGGTTATTTAAATGGTTGAATTATAATTTTGAATTTTCAACATCGATTCAGAACTGCGGGCTAAAAGGTGGACGAAAATTTTTTCACTTTTCTGATATTCACAAAGAAATGACCCGGCTGATCGTCGCATAAAACTGACAAATAATATTTCTCATCGAGATACATCGGCATTTACGGCAAAAAATCTTCACACACATACACACACACATTCAAAAACACTTACTTATTCCAAACTTGGTCTTATTCGATTCAGAATGGCTTGAAACGTCGAGAAAACAAAATTAGTGAATTGGATGTTTTACGAAAACATAAACTTCTCTTTCGGGAAGTTAATAATTGTAAAAATTGACAGTATGTTTTTAATAAATATGTTTTTAAAAGCTCTTTTCATACATATATTAATTAATTAAAACAAATATATATATATATATATATATATATATATATATATACAAACAATATTATTAACAATATTTAAAGTAAAAATAACAATATTTAAAGTAAATAAAAAAATAATTCCTAGAATAGATGCATACATTTGATTCTTTATGTAAAAGTCAATGTATGTATTTAGGTCAAATAAAGCAAATTTTAATTAATAAATTAATTAATCGTAAAAAAAAAATCTTAAAAGGTTTAAGCAGAAGTGACAGACCTTATTCAGAAAAAGAATACTAACAATTATTAAAATAAAATAAAGATTTAAACACATAGGATAAATGACGAAACAGTTCCTATAGTGGTGATGATCATCAGTTTGTTCTATCGTTAATAATTAGTTTTATATATCATTGCAAAAAAGATGAAAATTAATAGATATTGATCAAATATATTATTATTTCGCGATTATTTTCATACAAAACCAAACCGTCTTTCTTGAAATAATTCCATCCAACTCCCTGTTGTTTTTGGATGCGATAACAGAACGTATTTCTTTTAGCGAGTTTTCTACTCAAGTGCAAGATGTGCAATAAAGTTGCTAGAAAATGTTACTCGAGAATAAAGAATATTGTGTATTTTCCTAGCTAGTTTTATAGCACTTACTAAAAATACGATTGCGTGTTTTTGGTCTATTTTTTAAGTAAAACTTCTTTAGGCGCGACTAGGGTGTAAAAGCGTACAAATGCAACGGAAGTGCGTTACGGCAGATAAGATAAGATAAGAGTCGAGTGCCAATGATTCGTCATTCGCTCTCGATTATATTCACTTCTATACGGGTCGATTGTGGTTAGTCGTCGCGTATATGAATAGAGATCTATCGTTGTATGCGTACCGAGTTCAACATTGTATGCGTACCGATATCGACAACGAAATGGGCATAAATAAATAAACATTTTAGAGTTACATCGTTGTACAAATCTTGATTTAATGAAAAATGCCTGAATTAGAAGAATATTTTACCCTGCCCCCCGTAAATAATTATAATGAAAATAATAAAACAAATGCAGGATTTGTGCCGTCTATGAAACATAAGTTTATTGAAATAATTTCTATGTTATTCGTAGTTTCTATAAACCGTTGAAGTTATTGAAATGGAAAATATTTTTTAGGCAAAACGGATATTACAGCTGTTCAAAGAATGAGATTATATCGCCAGCGAAAAATAAAAAAATACCATCAGTCAATAAATGTATGTCAATTATAATTACATGAAGTTCTTCAAACACAATTATTACATGATGAGTGAATTTGCGAAAGCAATATTTGTTTTGGCATTGTTTAACATTATCCACTGTGCAAACGAATATTATAGAAGTTATTAATCAGCAATTACTTTATTTCTCTAATGATGTTTCATTTCTAAATGCTAATTACAATGACGAACTGATCATGTTATGTTTGAAGTATGACTTTAATTACATTATTGTTTTTGAATATTATACATAAATTTAATGCTATTATAAATATATAATTAATAATTTATCATTATATAAATGTGTATAATGGTTGACACTAATAAATATGTGCATCACGAGTGTTAAGATATTACTAATAAATATTATTCAAAATTGTTATATGATGTATATATTTTTACTTAAAAGTTCTACAGTAGGAAGTAAGTTTTACTTCAATCACGTGTGAACCTTATGCGCACTCTTTTTTTATTTTAATGGCTGTTATCATATGCACTTACACGGCGTGAATTTTTTGATAAATCATAATTGTACGTTGCTGTAAAATTAAACATTGTGTAATATTTACCTATTAAGTCAAATTTTGTTAAAGAATTTGATTATATAATCATGCACAATAGCCATTTTCAATTATTTATTCAGTTGCTGCAAATAAATTTAACTCAATGGTTTTAGGCGACAAACCAACTCATTTCTAAAATCTATTTTGAAAGAACTATACAATTTAGTAAATAAATATTATTGATAGATAAAATATCAGAGTCACCATGATATAATTAAATAACATGTGGTTTAAACAATATGTACTAAAAAACTGAAGTCTATCGTACAAGTTTTTGCACGTGGTTTTGTGTGCAGCATAAAATCAACTAGCTGTAAGTGGAATTCTGTCTTAAGGCAATTAAGGCATCGTGCCTTAAGGCAAATTGCTGGAACTTCCCGTACCAAAAATTATTTTTTTTTTAAAAAACGATTAACAATTTTGAAAAAATTTTACTTCGAAAAAATAAGATTTTTGAAAAACTATAAATTGGACAAAAAATTACTTTTTTTTTGAAAAAAAAATTTTTTTTCGAAAAAAAATTTTTTTTTATTTTTTTTTTTTTGAAAAAAAAAATATTTTCCTTATTGTGACATATTTTGAAAGATCTA